AAAATAATGTTGTTTAGAAAAGGGTTAACACCTAGTAACCAGTTATCCACTCGTTTTGACAGTCTTTCTATAAAACTGAGAGCATAAATTCGTAGATGAACCCTGTGACCCTTATAAGTGACTAGCATGTAATTTCTCCTTACGATATCACCCCTGAATCACACATTAAGGTTATGAGAATAAAGGAAATGATCACCAACTAAAGAAACTCTTGATTCTTATAAAAATAAACAAATTCTCCTTTTCAGCACTTAAGGATGTGTGTAGAGAACAGCATGGAGAATATGCATATTGATGTTAAGGCGATAGAGAATCGGAGTGAGGAGATCTCAAATCTCAAATTTGATTCCAAGCGGGGTACTTGAGACTGTTTCCTTTCCCGTACCAAAACAAATTAAATCCCTCTTTAGCTTCAGTCTTTATTATCACCTGAGAAGTTCCTTTTCTCGGGCTTCCAGATGCTGCATACATTCGTTTAATTCTTTGTACAAACTGTTAGCTCTCTCCAACTTCTGCTCGTAATGAACTCGGATATCCTGAGCATGTCTGAAATCAATCGCAAGAATAACTTCAAAGGGGGTAAGTTTCTAAAGAAACTGTGGTGCTGTGTCGGTGGGAGAGTATACGATAGCAGGTAATTTAGTGTGAACAACTGAGTTACAAACGTAAATTAGCCACCTTAAAGAGAAAAAAAGCTGACGTTTCGAGCGTTCGCCCTTCATCAGTGCGTTAGCCCTTCGTCCATCGCTCTAACGCTCGAAACGTCAGCTTTTTTACACTTTACGATGGCTAATTTACGTTTTTAACTCTGTTGTTTAACACTAAATTACCTGCAAGAATAACGTCATTCTACAAAAGTTGTTCGACTGTTTTTGGTTTTCGTTCATAATTTGTTTCAAGGGAATAAGGTGTCTGAGAACGATGTTACAAGCTCTAGAGCAAAATGACCGAGAACATCCTAACAGGGTAAAAATAGAGCTGTCGGAGAGTTCAAGTCGTACAAAATCCCGAACAAACACCGCATCTCAGAAACGGCATTAAACGAGGGAAATCAGGGGTTTCATTACGGCTGATCAAAGCCGGTTACCAGCGATCTACTACCGTCTGAAAGACCTCTCGCCGCCGTCTGTTTAACCCGCGCGGGCTCTCGTGTTTAGTTTCGCCTTTCGGTCCCATTTCCAGGAACAGGCACTTAAGGAAAAAAAAATTATTGAAACCCCTGGGCAATGCTTAATGATATCTTGCTTAAACCGACCCGACCCGACTTTTAATGAACAGGGGAAAATCCTAAGGGTTTCAATAACTTTTCCCATAAGCGGCTGCCGATGGCGTGATAGGCGTCTGTCCGTCTGTTTACGTCGAAGCGTAAACACGAGAGCCTGCACGCAGGCTAAACAGACGGCGGTAAGAGGTCTTACAGGCGGTGATAGATCAGCGGTAACTTCATGGCTTTCATCGATTCCCCTGGGACCTTTAGCTCACACTAGAGACCGAGAAGACAACGTTTGTAAAACAACGAAACACTTTGGCTACAAAAACAACTTTAAATCTCAGACTGGGCCACTCGAATGACCAATCCAATAACACACGGTGACTCAGAAGTGTGATAAGGTGGGTAAATTTCACAAAAGATACTTTCAATTGAAAGGAAGTTATTTTTTGTTTCGTTCTCACCGAAGTTCTTCCTTCCTTCTTCTAATGAGTTCCTCGTCAAGTTTTTGCAGTTGTTGAAGATTCTGCATGTGTACACTGCTTCTATTCTTCATCTTTTCAAACTGTTCCTTGATTTCCCCCCTCCATGTTATCTGTCAAAAATAAAATGAAACTTGTCAAGATTTCTTCACAGCCCCATACTTCATTTTGCATACAGTTCTTGGATAAAGAAAACAAAGGCGGGAATCTCTGTTCACCTCATCTAAATTTTGCTTTTTCACTTCAAAAATTATTAGTTCTCTTAAACTACTAATAAAAATGCTCTTGTTTTTACCCATAATTAATAATAATCCAAACAAATAAAAAAAAAAAACAAACAAAATTGGGACACTGATTTAAAGTACAAGAATTTATCTCTTGGCCTTACCCTGTAACTCCCACAACTGATTAACACGTAACTTCTCCCTATAATATCCATACATCATCCAGCAAACAAGTAAGGAGAATACTCAAACTTATCAATTACAAGTTTTTATCTTGATCTAACATCAAATTCTCATAACAATCTACAAGGAAATATACAGCACCTAGAGGGGAGAATTAACAATCAGATCTTAGGGGTTTCAGGCATAACTGCATTTATGTCTTCTTCACTCACTTGTCGGTTCAAATAAAACTCCTGTGGAGTTTTGATCACGTCTCCAGCTGCAATGTCTACATGAAGAAGAACTTGTTGGAAAGATGGCCGATTCTTTGGTTTACTATTCCTAAGAGATAAATTTTAAGGACAAAAACTTGAGCTTTAATAGTAACATCATAAGAATTGTGTGGCAGGCAATACAGAGAATTACATGCCACTCTACACCCAGAAGTATTAATTAATAATGGTGACCTGAAGATTAAACCTTTTTAATTGATGACAGGGTGACTGGCCTGTCCCATTCCACTAAAAAAAGTGCTTAACCATTGGGGAGAAAATTGTTCCATCCAGGGGGGAGTAGTCATGCTCACAATTGCATGTTCGAGGAGATCAGCCATAATAATGAAAATAGGTTCTGAACGTGGGTTACTAATTTGGTCATTGTTCCAACACAGACATCCACAGACTTTTTCCTGATCAGTCAAGTTTAACAACTTCAAACTAAATCATTCAAAAGTACCAAAACATCATCAACTTTACCAACAAAGTTTCATAAGCAGTTTAAAGCCTTCTGGACAGGTGGTTGGCACAGGGAGATGTAAACTGTTGCTGCCAACTCCCCAGATTATGGCAGAGGAATCCACATCCTACATAAACATTATATTAAAAGTCAATAGGCCATTTCAGAGTTGTGTACTTAGCTACCAAGCTAAGATTTATAATGAGGCTGAAGGTGACCTTCTTGTGATAAAGACCAGTATCTAGTTAGCATGATAACAGATTAATTTACAATTATTAATAATTATTGAAAAGCAAAAAAGATTGTATCATAACAAGGTCACCCTTAGCTTCAAAGGCTTGGCAACCAAGCATGCAACTGTAAAATGACTATTCATTTTTAAAAATCTCATAATCAGTAACATGTAATAATGAAATTGTTACCTCTGCTGTGTTTCAAGCTAAATTCTCTTTTTTCCTTAAATATGGAATTTTGTAGAGGTGATAACTAAAGAGACCTCATTCAGTGCTTTCAATAAGATTTAAAAAAGGTGGCTAGTTCAGTAAAGCACCCACTGGAGAATAACATGAAAAGTAATTTCTCTCTCATTAGCCTGTTAGTTCCATTCAGAATTAACCATTTAACTCCCATGAGTGACCAAGACAGAATTTCTCCTTACAATATCAGTACAATATCAAGCAGACAAGTGATGAGAATAAAGAAAAATATCAGCTAAGGGATAATAGGTTGATCCAAAACCAAATTCTCCAAACTAACATCACAAGAACTGTATGGCAGACAGTAAGGAGAATTACTAATGAGATCTTGGGAGTTAAAAGGTTAACTGGCTTCAAACAGAGTTTTTCAGTGTTAAACTTTCAATTGGTAAATGATCATTAAATACTAGTCTCCTTTGTAAAAATTGTTTTACTTATCATTTCATTTCTATTTAAAATCTTCCATTTGCTGACATGCAAACCTGCAGCCTGGTCTTACTGAAAGCACCGCTCATTGATCCAAGTGAGTGACTGATCATAGAGTACAAACATGTCTGAATAAAATACGTAATATTAAAATAGTTCTAATTTGAAATGAGTAGTTTAGTTTGTAAGGTGTTGTTGTGGTTTATATATTGTATGGGGCAACTATGCTTACCCTGTAGGGCATTTCTCCTGTGAGTAACTCCCACAAAAGGACACCAAATGACC